CTAGCCAGTTAATTCAATATTTGCACTTAAGTTGATAGCAAAAGTTAGGCTAGATGGGCTGAATTACAACTTACTTAACAAATGATGTTAATATAAAACTTCCAACAGAGTACAAAGGATCTATTGAAGGACCCATACTGAATTTAAAAAGTTATACCCATTTTGCGGGTGAGGTTGACAGTAAGCGTTTTCTGATAGGGTATGGGGGCCCAGCTCAAAACAAGACAAAAGCAATGCATAAACAGGAAAATAACTAAAGTTGTTCCAACATGATAATAAGTTTAATACGAAAAACCATAGGAAATCATAACAGAATAGAGAAACTGAGAGAAATTTAGATGAAACACACTGGATTTGGGGCCGGGAGAGGTATGGAGAAAAGAGAAATTGGTTCAAGGAAAATCAAAGCAGGTGGCCTTAGCAAGGAAGTGTAAATTTGTTAAATGTTGTAACACAATTATTAGAAAATAATGTATATAGGAAATGATTGTCGTTTTTCTTAGAATATCAGCTATAGGCATAGGATACAAATCATGAAAGGAGAATAGCATAGGATGAGAATATTACAGCGGTATATCTTCGAAAAATGGCAAGTCACGTCGCCAAACAGCTTCAAGCGCCTCTTCTGCAGATTGGCCCAAAATGGGGCCAGATGAGAAGCGATCAGCAAACGACGATATCACACCAAAATAGTTGGTAGGATAGGTTTTGAGAACTATTTCGCCATCTGAGGATTCTGTGACTACCGGTTGAACGAAAATAGGGAGAGGCCGCTTCCGGGCAAGTACAATCTCTCGCAGCGCCAAGTCTTCCTTATTTGGAGTGGAATAGCCCTCAAAGAACTTAGTAGCTTCAGCCACTTGGCCGGTACTCTTGTAGTACTAAAAAAGATAAATAATTTTTAATATGTATAGTTAAGATACATTCAAGATGAAAACCTGGTTTCTGAAATCAGACAAACATTAATATATCTTTGAAATAAATGGAGTAGACAGACGATCATATCACGTCAACTCCGGGCTATATGGATAAAAAGGTCCTTTTATTGCACATTTTTAAACGAAATAAAAATTCGGCACAAATGAAGTATGAAAATTCTCATCAACACAATTATAGCCAAGCCTAATATACGAAAGCATATGAAGATTTTGAGGATAATGGTAATTAAGCTACGAGAGCAATGAGCCGTGTTGGGACAATGCAAAACAAATTAAAACTATATACCATTTTTTTTTCAAACTAAAGTAGAAACTATGCGGAAGCAAATGAAATAAATTAGAGTATCACAATTGTAATGAAATTTCTA